TCCAGCCCTTTCGTACTTGAGCATAGCTGTGCATTTCCATCCTCTGGTATCCGTTTTGGGCCACTGGCTGAGGGTGGCTGGCGTGTCTTCTTAACCTTTCATTCCTTGCCCTCTTCTGTCTGTTGCTGCTCTGTCTTTCTGACTTGCTTCTTCTGGGCTGTTTGAGGCTTCACCAATTCTCAGTTTAGCTCTGTATACTTGATCACTTCACTCTTTCATCTAGTTTTAAATTGTAATGATGGCAGATTTATTTCTACCAGTTCTGTCTGGGTCATTTTCTACTTTGCCTGATCAATTTTGACATTGAGAATAGCTGGTGTATGTAATCCCATTTACTTCTTACCTTTCCTTTAGAGAAGGTATGGGCTATCATAGCCCCCTTGGCAAAAGGGAAACTGAGGTACAAAGAGGTTAGTTAGGAACCTACCTGGAGATACACAAGCACTTAATGACAGGACCCCTGAATGACCTTGCTGTTTTATCAAGCAAGTCATTCACGTGTGTTCTGCCCAGCATTTGTCTTTCTTTAGTTGACATCTTTCTTGGCCCAGTGCCCACCAGTCTTGGGGTTTTGATTGCATCTTTCTGTTGATGTTATGCATGTTCCTCCAGCCTGGGTCTGGGGCAGCACCTAGGGTGCCTTACTATGATGCATGAGTCAAGGGTGTCAGAATTCTCCCCAGACCTCTGCCAGCTCTCTGTGGTTAGGAATCCTCAGGGGCACCTTCTTTTGTGATCTCTTGCTTCTGCCCGATATCAGGCTGTTTTCCGGCTTCTCCTGAGGGAGCTGCAGTTCAGCTCTTGTCCATCCTACTAGAAACCTGAAGAGCAACCAGGAGAGGCCTGGTCCTCAGGCCAGGCTTGGTTGTGTGCTAGCCTTCACCCCGGTTCACCACAGCTTGACTCAGGTCTTCCAAGGCTTCCTTTGATATGCTGTCAGCTCTGCCTAGTACAGAGAAGTTTCTCTGTCTTTGCTTTCCTGGCAGTGCTGCTGGTCAGCTTTCTGGAAGGCCTGGTTTTCCCAAGAAGCATTCTCTGTGGACATGACAGAGCATGGGTGGTCTAGGGGTCAAGAGGGCTGAAGGCCTGAGCAGCCATGTTTGTTACTGATATGAAAAGCTGAATGGTCTCATGGTTCACCAAGAGCCCAGAACATGATATGAAGGTTGTGGGCTCTTGGGTGGGGTCAGGCCAGTGCTGCAGCTGCTCTAGGCTGTGTTTACTCTGGGGTCTCTGCTTCGTGCCCGCCTTCTAGGATGCTGCTTCAGGGCATTCCCATTAGCTCATTTCATCAGGGACGTAAGAGTGTATGTGAACCCTGCAGTGGATTCAGGCAGAAGCTAGCTTGTTGCTGAGGGTGGGCTGGCTGTGTGTTGGTAACTGAGAGACGGCAAGTAATGGATAACAGAGAACAGAGTGACTCAGCCTCCCACCACAGAATGTGCTGGGATGTTGAATAGGCAGAGAGCAAGCCTAGGAAAGACCCTAGCTCTATACACCCCACATGCAGCCGGGTACCTCCGGCTCTGTGTTCCTCACTGCTTCTGCTGGTGGGGGTAAGGGGGACTGCCTCAGAGTGGAGAACCTGGGAACCCAGAATGTATGGTCTCTTTCTCTGGTTGATGAAGGAAGACCACCTGCCTGGGGTCATCAGGCCTCCTCCCAGGCCTAGGCCCAGTCCTGGTCCTGTGAAAGCCCATGTGTTTTGCCAGCTGTGTCTACAGGGGCATTGCTCTGGCCTGCTGTACTGTTCCTGCTATCATAGCTGCAGTACTGTTGAGGAGTAGTGCATGGAGGACTTCACAGAACCCACTGCTGCGTGGCAGGGAAACGTGGGCCAGAGCACCACGGTGCCTGGTGCACATGCAGCTCTGCGCTTGCGTGAAGGCTAACTGAAAGCTTTGATTTAGTTGACCATGTAAAGAGTGATTTGATTTTCCTCTGCAGCACAGCTAGTTTTCCTAACCTCTAGAGTGGAGGACAATGGGGAAAGTCTTGCTCTAGATTTTACTGTCTGGCTTGGACTTTCTATCACATGGTTGAAGAAGAAAGGAAAAATGTGACAGTGTGTAGGTATGAGGCTGTCTTGGTGGTGGTGGTGGTGGTGGTGGTGGTGGTGGTGGTGGTGATGGCAGCAGCTCTGCTTTCCCCTGTGTAGGGAGACGTCTGTCATGCGGGGTGCCAGGGCTGAGCCCTGCCATAGTGCTAAGTCCCTCAGTGCAGAGAGGCCTGCGTTTACACATGTGGGGCTGGGACCATTCTTGTACCACCCTGTGCCCCAGACCATGGTCCTGCTCTCCCCCTTGGGTGAGCTTAGAGGTTTCTGAGTGCTTTTTAATGGTGTAGATTATGTGATTGCCGAGGCCCTTTGTGTCTCCTCTGAGGTTGCTGGGTTGTGATCCTCTTCTGTTTCATTTTTGTCAAGATTCGGGCCATCTTCTCTGTCTCCCTATCCCCGTGTTCCTCAGCTCTTCATTGCTCAGGGCAGGGCCCAGAGCCACCCTGTGGCTGCCCACAGGGTCTTGCCCAGACCTCTGCCTGCGGTGTTGCCTTGGGGCAAGGCTGCCATCTCACCATTCTAGCCTGACTTTGACACTTGCTGTTTGGGAGACGCTGCAAAGGAGTTTTGTGTAAAGAGTCAATTTCACATGTGCTTTTGAAGGTTCATTTATAGAAGAAACCTGAAGTTTTATAAGAGTGAGACCCCCACAAGTGGTTTTGGAGGGGCCAGGCCATTCCTTTCCAGCCACAGACTCAGTGCCTGCTCTGTTCCTTACCTGGGAAATAATGACAGGGACCCCCTTTTGTGTGAACTCTGTATTTTGTATCATTTTATATTTTAAATCTGTCATTTCTGGCTGCATGATGTGGTACTCAGACCTTGATTTTCAGAACTCCAGAGAGCTAGCAAGCTAGGAGGGAGTTTGCTCTGTGTTCTGTGGATCAGGACAGCTGGTGCCTGCTATCTGCATGGCATGTGACAAATGATATCCAAAGTGATGGCCTGCACAGGGCACCTTGAGACCAAGGGCCTGCTGTGCCAGACATTGCAACATGCTGTAAAACCCATATGCTTGTGCAGGTCATTTTCACTTGCACGTGAGGAAGGGTGCTGGACACCAACAGGGGAGTGCACAGGGCCCAGGCCATCATCTGCACTGCAGAGCTGTCCCAGAGACTGCCGCCATTATAAAACAGAACCTATGCTGCTTGACTTGGCAGAAGTCATCCCTTGTACATGTGGCCCGAGCCAGTCCATTTGTTCCCTGCCTCTGTGACTATTCACAAAAAGGAGACGAGCACTCCTGGTATCCTGGGATGGGCTTTCAATGCTGCCCGGCACACATCCACCCCATGCCCGCTGATGAATGTGTGGGCATTGGCCCCCCAGTAGCTCCTGACTCCTGCAGTGGGCAGCCTAGCCTGGCTTCCCCTGGAAGTAGTAGGGGCAGCCAGGGTGTGAGTTGGGCTTCCCACAGCCGCAAGCCACAGCTCTTCTGCACTACTGCCAGGCAGGCCTCTCACCCTGTGGGGTCTGCACTCTTCCCTTTCCCCCAGGATGTAGCTTCCCTCTCCTCAAGGAGAGTCACCTGGACTTAGGCTGGCACAGTAGCAGCTGAGTGCCACAGCAGTGTCCTACCACAGCCTTGATCATTCTGAATTTTCCAGGCTTGGACTAGGGGAAGAGGCCCTTCCTGCTGGGAGCTGAGCTGGCAGCACACGCGAGTCCAGCTTTAGAAACTGAGGAGAGACATTCGTTGGAACCTCCTCACCCCACTGTCTTGGCACATTCCTTTGGCCACCTATGATGCTAGACAGGAGTCCTTGGGCCAGTGTGTTCACATACTCTCAAGGGGCAGGTCCTCTCTACCTCTTTGCATTTGACCCACCTGTCCCCAGACTGTAGACTCTGTGAGATGATTAGGATCTGCACCCAGTGTGTGGCTATGTGTGAGTGAAGTCGCAGTCAGTCGTTGAGAGACCTGCTTGTGTCAGAGTGGACCACTGTAGGTATCAGCTAAGTGAAGGAACTGGCTTGCTTAGCTCACCGTGGTTGGCAAGGTAGTCCTACATTGTTGAATGGTGTGGCTTAGGTGAACTGTGGTCAGGATTTGCTGGCTGAAATACTGGTGGCCATAGACATGGCTACCCTGGAGTGGGGGCAGCAGTATCTTGGGTCAGGTGCTGGGTGCGGTCTGTCACTGTATGTCTGTTTTAGAGGAAACAACTCAAATGTTCAGTGGGGCCCCTGCCCACAGTGGCCCTGGCCTGACCCCCCTAGGTAGCGCTGCTTCTGAAGTATGAACTCTCCAGTTGTCCCCCTTTCTTGGCCCAGACTGCAACTAGGCCAGCACAAAAAGAAAACAGTTTCCACAGGAAGGACACAGATTAGGAAAATGAAAATGTTATTAGGGACCCATTCAAGAAGCCTTTCACTAGGCAGCGTAGAGCATAGCATCCAGTTGGAGCTGTGATCTGGTATTGAGCTCTCGGGGGCTCCCATAACCATCTGCCGCCACCAGCCCTCTGTGCTCACTTCCTGTGCATACTCTGGGACCTACTCAGTCAGGGTCTGGGTCCTTTGCCTTGCTTATCCACTTGCATTGTTGCCATCACACCCTGGGAGTGGCTCAAACCAGGCAGCCCTGCCCACTGGCAGCCGCTCTGGCCCATATGTGTTGCTGTAGCCTGGCAATTTTACCACACCTTTAGGTGCACCTCTAGGTGCAAGCTGTCCCTTGGGCAGTTGTCCCCTGAGCCACAGCTTCCTGTCCATTTTCTTTGCATGTGACCTGTGGAGCAGCTTCCCCAGCAAGTGAGTGCTGGCTCCAGCTCCAAGGAGAGTGGAAGCTGAGTCTACTAATTGTGCATCCTTCTGAGTTTTGAGAACTGCTCTGCTCGGATCCCTGCAGCAGGCTTGGGAGTTGGGAACATGCAGAGGCCGGGCCTGAACTCATGTCTGGGCAGACCAGACCTCACGACCCCACCATGGCGGTTTCCTGCTCATCAAGTCACAGTAATGAGAAGCTGTGCACTCCCTCTTGGCTGGGGCAGAGCTGTCTATCCCCAGCCAGCTGCATGGCTGACCTGAGCGATCTCTCAGCAAGCCTATCATGGTTCAGCCATAGAGCCTGTGTTCCCAAGGGCCTCATGTGTTGGACAGCCAGAGGGCTGCTCCTGCTGGGAAGAGCCTTCTGGACATGGAGGAGGCTGCTTTGCTTAGGATGATCCCGGAGAAACTGCTGGACTTCTGCCTTGACACTTGGCCCTTGGCTGCCTTGTCCACCTCTCTTTCTACCTTGCAGTCCGAGGGAGCTCTTGGGCTCCTGGCTGCCTTACTGGTGTGTCAGCATTGATGCTGGAAGCGTGCAGTTGGCTGCCTTTTTGATGCAGCCCTCACAACCTCCCCTATAAGCTGAGAGAAGGGCTTAGGAGAAGGGGAGTTTGTTTCTGGGATGACACTCGAGAGCTGTGGGGATACCTGTTTGTGGGGCTCTGCCGCTGGCGGAGAACTTCTGCTTGGAAGCTTCCTAACTCCTGGTCTCTCCGTGCCAAGCTGGCCGGGGATCTGGTACTGCCTGCCTCTGACCCTCTATGACCTTCTTTTGTCTTCTGGTCTAAAGCTTCTTCCTGGTGCAGAGGTAGATCATGATCCTGTTTGCCTGCAGGGCAGGGGTGAAGGAAGAGTGGAGCCAGGCACAGAGCATCCTGAGGAGGTGTCTGTGCTGCCCTGGGTGCCTCCTGGAGTCTGCCCTGGGCTGAAAGTGCTGCCACCCTGCACCCGCTTTGGTTTGGTGAACACTTGTGGCCTTGAATGTAAATAGTGTTCGGGGTATTCTTTGTGAGTCTTGGGCCGAAACTCTTGTGGTGATCCTTGTATCATCTGCTTGTTATGTAATGTGACAACATGGGTATGAAATGGAAACCAGATGTCAGGGTGGAGCAAAGGAATTCTTCCCCAGTGTGCGCGGCAGAGCAGACTGGAGTTTCCTCCCAGTTAAAGCGCTGAATGCCCTCAGAGGAGTGACTGCGGAGGGGCTTCTGGGATTAAGCAAAGGTCTTGGCTGAAGGTAAAGTACTATTTGAAGCAATTAGTTGTCTTTTAAGAAACTTGTAAAGGGTTTCTGTGTTTTGTTATGTAATTGTGCAGTGTCATTCCAAGTGACCAAGTGCCTTGTTATCTAGAATTGGCTTAGAACATTTAAATTCAGTCTCTAGGTGAGCAGGAGGCACCATCTTCACCTGGGCTTGGGCTTGAACAAGGGAAAATGTGTTTACTGTGGTGGTGGGCTTGCTCGTGCGGCAGGGGGTGGGCAGCACTATGACAAGTGCGTTTCCATTCTTGGTACAGATCTGTGATGGCAACAGGTCTAGTGGGGTCTAGTATCCAGAGTCAGTGGACTCTAGATGTCTGCTATGGTTGGGTCCTGAGACAACCCCAAGTCCTACCCTGGCCGTGTGGACTTGGCTTTGTCTGGACTGCACTGGACTGCAAAGGACGTGGGTCCGTGCCTTTTGAAACATGAACAGCTACTTGTAACGTGCCCAGATTAGAGTGTGGCTCCTCACTAGCAGTGACCCCAGGCCCTGGAGGGAGGCTGTGCACTTCACTGACTGAAGACCCTACGCTCTGAGGCCATCCAAACCTCACGCAAAAGTTGAATTCTTACTAGGAAAATCTGTCTCCAGATGTCATCCTGTGTCCTCAGACCCAGCTCCGGAGGCAGGGAGGGAGGGCTCATGGCTGCTGCTCGCTTGGGGCACAGTGAATCCTCTGGCTGTCCATCTCGGCTGTCCTTCACACTGTGACACCAGCTCACACAGTGCCGTACTTTCCGACGGCACACGTTCCACTGCTGAAGGTGTTCATGCGTCTCTTAAGTATCCCTAATACACGCCTATAAGAGTATATAAAAGTCACATTTTTATGACTCTTCCCTTTCCCTGTTTGGGAAACTGAGGCCCAGGAATGTAGATGGCTGGCTCGGGCCCTTGCCTTTGGATCCAGCCAGGCAGAGCCACAGAGGGGCTATCTTTGCCTTCTTCAGCACATTGCTGAGTGGCCACTCTTCCCTGTGTGTTTGCTGCTAGGTGTGTGTATTCAGTTTGTGGGTGAGCCTGAGAAGCGAAGGGCAGGAATCCTGGTGCCCACAAAGTTTCTGGCCAGCACTGTGCTCAAGCATCCTCACTCCCTTCCGCTTGTGGAAGAAGTGGATCCCAAGGTGATGCATGCGACAGGGCTGGTACAGATCAAATGTGCGGGTCAAAAGGCTGCCTGGAAAGTGACATTCCTGGAACTGTCCTCCTGAGCAGGAGCTGTGTGTGGACTGCTCAGAAAGCACAGTGTCATACGTGAATGCTGGAGGTTTGTGGATGACACCAGCTTGTCCTCACTTAGTGTGTGGTACTACAGAGACAATGCAGAGGACCAGGCACCAGCCCCCTCTGAGAACGTAAGGAATCTACTCACCCTGCAAGGTCTCTGTCATGAGCCACGGGCATCACTGGGAGGTCACTCTGCAGTACGTGTTTCTCAGTGTGTCCCCCCGCCCCACCTTCTTGTTTCTCAGAGTGATCCATTGCTCGCTGAGCATCCTGCATAGGTCTTGCATACCTGACAAGATGGTCACTGAGGCACAGAGCCATCCCAACCAGGGTCTGTGCCCTGGGCTCTCCAGGTTCTGGGCACCAAGGTAGAAAGAAAACACAGAGCTGAAGGGGAGTGTGGCTTGGAAGGTGGTCCCAGCAGCTGGCACTTTGCAGGTTCCTGCATGGGGCTAGAGGATGGGCATGTGAAGGAGAATGCTGCTCACCCTGACTGAGGCCCTATGGCTCCTGCTGCTCTGGCCAGAATCCAGGAAGTTCTCTTCACTGAGCTGTTTGTCTTTGTGCAGGATGGGTGGGAAGTGAAGGTGGAGTGCACAAGGTACTTGGGTGGATCCTGCCCCTGTTACTAGTAGCCCCACAGGCTTGGGGCAGGCTGCTGTGCCCCAGGGTGCAGGTCAGGGCTTGTTTAGGGGCCTACGAGTGCAATGTGAAGCAGGTGTCCCCTGCACAGGTGAAGACAGTCTCATGTAGCTTTTGTTCTGCATCATCACACAGGGTAGAGACTGGAATGTGTTGGCTTGAATGTGGGACAGGTGGCCTGGTCCAGTGTGCCATACAGTGCCATACACCCATACCTGCATGGGTGATACCTCAACTATGGGGTCTAGCAAGTGTGTCCATCAGAAAGGCACTGTTCTCAGCGCTGGCAACTGAGTTGGAGGAGCTCGATCAGGGCCCCCCCCGCCACCCCGGGCCCAATGGGCTGACGAGAACCACAGTCACTCTAGAGCCAAACTTTTCCTGCCTTCCAAATGTATGAAAAGCTGAGAAGTAACAGGAAACTAAATGGAAGTAGAATCAGATCAGCCTGTCAACATTGTCCAGAAACAATGAGGACCATCCATTGAGTGCAAGCTGAAGTACAGTTATCCATGGGTAGTAAGCTGGGCTGTCTAGGACACTGAGAATTATTCCCGCTGTGGGGGACATTTGGGTGTCTGATTCCCTACTCTGTAGATGCCATCCATGTGGTTGGTTTGAATGTTGTTTAGATCCATGGCCTGTGTAGCATCTTGTTTCCAGTTGTGTTTACCAAAGAGAGTGAAAAGTACTGTTTACAGATTGTGTATTTAACTGTGTGCAGGTACATGTTTGTGTGTGTAAGTGTCTAACCCTAAAGGACATGTTTCATTAGTGTATTAGTGCAGGAAATGGCTACAGTTGAGTTAGTGACTAAATGAAACTGCACCGCACAAACTGAAAATATTTGAATGGGATAAAAACCACATCTGGTTCTTAATTTTCTGCAATTCTGGAAACTTCTAGAACTTGTTTTTGCCTTCATTTTAAAATTGATTTCTGCACTGTGGAGGGCCCCAGCCCTTCTTTTCTGGGCGTGGCAGAGTGGCTTCCATGGAGAGAGGACAGAAGCAAAGGCCAGTCCCCATCAGCACATACCACCAGGCACCTGGGGGCGCTCCCAGGCCTGTAAGAGAGGAGCAGCAGCCCCACAGTGTGCACTGATGCCAGGCTAAGCAGAGCCATCAGATCCACAGGCTAAGGAATGTTCCCTGGCCATCAACCCAGAAACACAAGGGGGGCAAGCATTGCCAAATGTGCCAGATGTGACTCCTTGCACTAGCAGGCCACGTACCTGCCACCTCACAGGGGTGCTGACAGCACAGCACCTGCAGGACAGACAGCAGGACACAGAGCAGTGGGGTGTGTGTTGTTGCGCAGCTCAGGCTGGTGTGGCATCTCTGCTGAGTTCCTGGCATCACAGTGGCTCAGTTGGCCCCACATGAAAGTTTTAAGAACCAAAGGCCCAGCTGGCCAGAGGAAAGTGCTGAACTCTTTTGCAGCCTGGGATGGTGCAGCCTGGACTGTGTGGACTGTGCCACGTACTGTAGGCTGTGTCACATGGGTCACCAGAGGCATTGGGCTCCAAGATGTTTACATTTTCATACGTATATACTTTTGCAAAATTTAGAAAACCAGTGCATGGAATCTGGACTTCTGGTCTGGTGTGACAACAAACATCCACTGTCATTCCTGGCCTCTGGTATATAGATTTGGAAGGGATTTCCCACATCAACTCGTGTCCCCCATGGGTGGCTGCTTCACTGAGGGCTCCAGGCCCTGGTGTCCTGCAGAAAGAGACCCTGTCATCCATGAAGTTTTCTCTTCTCTCCTAGGTCCTTTTGAAAACATGTGTTTTGAAACCTAAGATGTTTGCAGGGACCTGAGCAATTTCCTTTGCACATCAAGGTTGTAGGATGTTATTGGGTTTTGTGTTACACCCTCTGTCCTCATGGGAGCTCTGAGGTGAGCCAGGCCTGTACTGTTAATCTGCTGTTTCAGTTTATTAATAATGCAAGTATCACCATGCTACCACCTGGTATCATTTGATGCTTATGACATGCTCTGTGTTCCCAGTGCTTATCTCATTTAATCCTTGCAGTATGTAATAAAAGTACCTGCAGCGTGTTTGGCTCCTGTGCTGCCGTGCACCCAGGTGCTCACTGATGGAGGTCCTCACTGCAGGCTTTGCACATGTGCGGGTTTCACCCTCCTTCTGTGAATGAGACCAGCCAGCTGGCCGAGGCTGACTTCTCTACCGGAGGAGCTGACTGTGCAATGTGGTCCACTGCACACTTGGGTGTACCTGTGGCCTTTGGAGGTGGGCTACAGTGGGACAGGGCTGATGCAGGCCCAAGGCCTGCCAGCTTTGGGAGTTTGGGTCCAGCAGGAGGACAGCCACTGTGCTGAATGTTGACAGGGACTTGGGGAGCCTAGGATGCCTAAGGTAAGCTCCTGGGCATGTGGCCTACCTGAGAGCACTGAGGATATAGCTGCCTGGCTGCTTTTTAGGGCTGAGTGATGAAGCCTGTAGCTGTTGCTTGTGCAGCTAATAAATGAGCAGTTTTCAAAGGTAACCTCATGGCCAGGCATGGTGGTGCACGCCTGTGATCCTAGCATTCAGAATGCTGAGGTAGGAGGATCACTGAGTTCAAGGCCAGCCTGAACTACACAGGGAGACTCTGTTTCAAAACAAAAAAAAACCTCAGCAACCTTTAGGCCTGCCTTGAATTTTTTACTAGAGGTACCAACAGCTCAGCTAGTTGGCTTTAAACTGTGAATTAAAAAAAAATCCATCAGGAAATGTTAAGATGACAGGAGGAGTTTGAGAGAACAAAGTAACTGCAATGAGAAATGAAGTTGGGACAAGCACACTGGGGTTTCTACCATGTGTGCCTGCCTGCACCAAGGGCACCCCCTACCCCCTCACCTCCCACCTCTCAGGACTCGAGGCTATCCCGTGTCCCGTGCCAGGCCTTGCGCGGGTGTCCTCAGTGCCTGCAGAAGGATGAAGAGTTCTGTCCTCCAGGGTGATGTTGGTTCTTGTTGAGGACAGGAAGTACACTTTCAGCCAGACCCAGGGGAAGGGGACAGAGATAAACACAGCACAGAAGATGGAAGGCAGAAAGAACTCATTTCCCATCCTCAAGACTTGGGTCTTCCA